CATTTTTATTTACTTAAACAATTAAACAACTAAACAAAGTTCCGAGTACTTTTTTAACGTATGGTACTACATAAAACATTTTCCTCTACGAAGAGGGACCAAACAAAATTTACGTAAGTATCTAGATTCGCTCCTTTTTCCATGGGCGGCACAAACTCTGCAGGCTCTTGTAGGAAATTTTTTCTTTCCACTCGCTGGAATACACGTAGGTTCATGCTGCTTCATTATCACCTGACAACCTTTTGGGTGGATCTTTACGAGGTGCTCTCCTTGCACCCCCAGGGGAAGGGCTGGACAGATTTGTCTCTGGTTCTAGAGAGCCTTCATCATTGTCATCCGTTATCCAGTCTCTCGACACCGATAGCAGAAACTGTTTATACTTCATTTTTGCTTGTGGATTGAGGACGTTGTACACTCTAAATGAATCAAAAAGACCACAGTTTATAAGGTACAGCACTACTTTTTTTGTCCATTTCATCGTTTTCCTTAGAATGGAACAACATGAAAGGAAGATCCGCACGGTCAATGCCTTTCATGTGGGCATTGTATTCCTTGATGGGGGTAGGTTTTACAATATTCTCTCCCGTTTTTCTATTTTTTTTTTCCTGTTGTCGAGACAGAAGTGTCATGGATCGTTGATATCATTCGGACAACCCACTTGTCTTTCCATGCTAGGAGAAGAATATCGCCTTTTCTGGAAAATATTATGTCACCTTTCTTCATTCTTGATGTTTTCATTTTCAAATTTGGCGGTAAACCTCTACTCTCCCTAATAGTCCCACAGACTCTAGTTTTGTTCTGTAGCAGCAATTCAGCAGATGTAGCACTGTAATAATTATCCTGGTAAATATGGTGTCATATGCCAAGATAGGGTCCAAGAACTGAAAGAACAGTGTCTTGCAATTTCTTTCTTTCAGCAGTGTATATCTCCATATTGCAGATAGAGCCAGTGTCACTCTCGCACACCATCCAAACAAGTAAACCGTATTTAGTTATGTTCGCTGGGTTGTATGTGTGGAATTTTAAACGTCCTCTCCATGGAATCATTCCCTCGTCCAAAGACAACTGTTGCTTTGGTTTGTATATTGTTCGAAATTTATGCAGGAAATAATCCAGCACAGGTTGGATCTTGAAAAAATCTCCCCGAGCAACTGTCCATTTTGGCATTATCATTGAAATGCCAGAATGTCCATATTTGCTGAAATCTATGGAGACTCATTGTCTGTGGAAATATAGGGGTACATAGCAAAGGATCTGTTGACCAATAGTCTTTCCAGGTATTTTTTCTTGTTTCACCCATCAGAATAATTAGGCTGAGGAATTTCTTGATGTCCTTCTATGTAACCAGAGACCACTTTAGTGTTCTAGATGGTGTTTTGCGTTTCATTGCAGTGTGACCGTGATAATCAGTGGGGCAGCTCTTTGCACAACATCTCAAACAATTAATCACCAAAAAAGAGATTGGTCACAGAGGGTACAGAGTCACACTGAGACGGAAATGTAGTGACCCCAGCATGACCTTGAAACATTTGAAAGTGTGGTGTGTTAATTTCAGGCCAACAATTATCAGTAGCTTCGTCAGTGTCGGAATCTCTTAAAAGCACTGCCACCTTGCGTTTCCTTACAGGTCTAATAATTTCACTGTCAGTAGAATCAGTAGAATAGTCTCCAGAATTGTCAAAACAGTCATCCACATCTTCGATCTCACTAGGAATATCTGATAAATTATTGTTAAATACTTCCAGAAGTGTACCAGTTTCGTTGGTTTCCTTCCTTTTTCTGAGAGAGGGCATTTCTAAAAGCACCAGGAACTTGAAGACGACGACTATTTGAATGACCAAAATACAATGTAACTGCAATACTTTGTGGGTTCATGCAATTATATAGTTTTTCGTAGATTGACCTGGACGGTTTTCACCAATGAGATCGCTTCATTTGATGTGGACAAGACAGTGCATTGACATCTAAGATCCCTAACAGATGGCGTGCAAAACATGAGAAAACTCGTGCTCAGTCCTTAACAGATGGCGCACGAAACACGCGAAAACTCATGAGTGGTGTGCAATGTGTTAAGAGGTGGCTAACTGCTTAGCTTCCTTTTCTAGACCCTTCTCCAAGGACACAGGCGGCTTTGTGACCTTGCTGGCCAGGCAATAGGGAAAGCTAACTGCTTCCATCTCCAAAGGGAACTCTCCTAGCCAGGAGCTCCTTGCATCAGCTTTCCATAAGGGGCTCCTTAATTCCTACTGTAAAATCAGTTGCTTTTGTTACCTGCACTCACTCTCTCTGGAATATCCTTGGAGTGATTTGGGTTGCCCATGAGCCTACCAGCTTCTCTATTTTTCCCATCTATCTCCTTATTGAGTGATCCTTTTGTTCAAGACCAAGAGTCATAATGCAGTGCCTGAGGGATCCTTAGAATGAAGTGTGGAGTGGTGCTCTTCCATTTTCATTTTTGCTGAGACCTGGGTCATCTTTCCAGGGCCCCTAATCTCATTTTCTCCTTTTGGGTGGAACATAAATTAGCCCCGGAGGATTATCTCATCCCTTACACCCTTGCAGGCATAAAGTTAGGGAAGTCTTTGTGTAAGATCTCATCAACTTTTCCAGCATTCTCTGAATTAAGGTAATTTGGGCACAAGTTATCCCAGACACCCACAGGATTTTCATACAAACATGCTAAGGTGTCTCAAGGCAGCTCTAACCTCAGTAGGGTTGTTCCACTTTGCATTCAGTGCTTCACGAAGTCTCCTCTTGGTAGTAATGTGAATTTGTTGTCCCTGAACATCAAATTCAAGAACAGGGCAGGCCCATTTGCTCCCTCCCCATGGGTCAGCCTAACCAATTCATTTAGCAAGAGAATCCCACAGTGAACCCCATTCAGTTTGACTTACTTCATGGGTGTAGCCTCTTAATCATGTAAGAAATCAAAGCTTCAAGGGACTCACTCCTGTGACTACTGCTGGGTGTTAAATTCCCTGTTAGTGTATGGAAGCCCCATTGATCCCTGGGTGGCACAATGCACAATGGCAAGTCTCAAATCTACAATGTTAGGTTGAATCAACTGTTCCAATGGCACTTGGGGGCCAAGGACTCTTTTCTCCTGATATTTTCCCTTAGTGCTCACAATGGCTGGCAGACCTGTAAGAGAATGCCAAAGGATCAAACTATCTCAATATGCCTTATGTCACAGATTTTCCAGGACCTTTGTGGCACAAAGACATAAATAAGCACTGTGATAACAAGTTTGCCAGTGATTTCAGCTTAGCCAGGTTTCCCACTACCAGCCCCAGGAGGAATGCTGTCCACTCCTAGTATGGCTCAGTTGATCCCTTTTGCAGTTTCTAAAAAGCCAGTGGTGGAATAAATGAAGTTTGCCTTGTGTTGGGTACCACCTGAAAAGTGGTGGACTAAGGCACACCACACAAAGCCATACAGAAGAAAATTGTTTTAATGAGGGAAACCCATCAGCAAAGGATCACCAAGAGAGGCACTAGATACCATTCTTTCGTGCAAAGACCAGGGCACTACTTACTATACCTTGGGTCTGTATTCCACGGGACAGATATTTCTCCCCTGTGAGTCTTATACTTCTTAGCAAAAAAAAAAAAAAAAAAAAAATGTTATTTCCCTGTTTCTACATGGAAAGTTCTGAGAAACTAAAAGAAAGCATTTTAAACGGCCTCAGATAAACACAGAGGAAAAGATGCTCAAGATTTAAATGCTGGTACCTGATACGCCTTCTGAACAACCCAGACTAGCACCTGGTAATGGCTACTTCTGAATAACTGGTTATTAGGAGCATCTGAAACTCACAAGGTGGTTCATGGCCATAAAACAGAAAGTGGCTCAAAAAGGAGCAGAATCTGTATATTGACTCTAAAAGTCATTATATTCCAAACTACCAGGAGCTCTAAGATCATGATCAGATGAGATAAATGCTTTTCAATGAGCCAAGTTGAGTGTTAAGCTGGCTGCTGCCAAAAACTATTGTTAAACAAGGAAAATCCAAATTACTTGAGGATAGTTTCTAACTACCCATCACTAATGGACTGAGTGTGTTCAGCTAGGCAGAATTGGTTGTAGAGAACCAGACAAGTATTAGAGTGAAAAACTAGAAAACAAAGAAGTATTTTTCTGGAAAAAAAAAAAATCAATGTAGAGGAGACTGTCCTGCATCATTTTGGATTCTAACACTGGGTAGAATGTTGACACTGTTATCTCTCCATATGTACCCGATTTTTAGGTGGTAGGTCATGCATGCTAGAGTTTCCTGACATTACCATAACAGCCAATTACTAGGCACCCTCTACCCACAAATCTTTTATTACTGAGATGCTGACATCAAAAGTTATCTTTGGCCGGGCGCGGTGGCTCACGCCTGTAATCCTAGCTCTCTGGGAGGCCGAGGCGGGCGGATTGCTCAAGGTCAGGAGTTCAAAACCAGCCTGAATAAGAGCGAGACCCCGTCTCTACTATAAATAGAAAGAAATTAATTGGCCAACTGATATATATATATAAAATTAGCCGGGCATGGTGGCCCATGCCTGTAGTCCCAGCTACTTGGGAGGCTGAGGCAGAAGGATCGCTCGAGCCCAGGAGTTTGAGGTTGCTGTGAGGTAGGCTGACGCCACGACACTCACTCTAGCCTGGACAACAAAGCGAGACTCTGTCTCAAAAAAAAAAAAAAAAAAAAAAAAAGTTATCTTTGTACTACATAAGACACTTAATATTTTCCAAATGGCACAGTATATTTATGTGTATGCAGATAGGAGTATGTGTTTAATATGATTTAGCGGTAGCCTATGTAATTAATGTGTTGAAATCTTATCTGGGAATATGAAGAATTATTTTGAAATATTTTGTTTTTTTCCTTTTAGGGGCACATAAAAATTATTAGCAACACACATTTGCATTGCATGACAACTTCCCCCCACATATCATTAATTTCTGTCATTATTTAGAAATTTAAAACCAGGAGCAAACATCTGTCAGACTAATTTTTTGCTTTTTCATAAGTGCAACTTTTTAATAAAAATTTACATCTAGATAAACAATCTTCAGATTTTTGAAACTTTAATAAGATTTTAAAAACATCATGACTTTGAACTGAAAAACATACACATTTAGCACACACATATTGTAATATGAATCAACTTCAAATCCATTTGAAAACGTGAATCAAATTACAGTTTTAGAAGTTAGTAATTCACATTTAAGCAAGTTAGCGCCTTGCTGACTTCAGCCTTTGTAAAAAAAAGAAAAGAGAGAGACTTAGTGCATATTGTAATGGTACATTGTGTTTTTGTACCATTTTGTTGATTTTTAAAATTTTATTAAAGAAGATTAAGTTCTTGAAAGTTGGTAGATAACGGCTAACTTCCTATGACATGAAACTTCCAATGGTAACAGTTACATTTTGTAACAGAACACTTCCTATAGATTTCTTTTCCTATCTTAAAATTTTAAAAGCAATCATTTGTAAGGATTGTATCAACATCAATTTAGCAGAGGAAGATCAAACTTTATTGAAACTGCTTGCATACAAAATATATTGCACTATAACCAAACAAATGTTAACATAAAATCCAATCTGTTGTCGCTAATATGTACAGAGAATATTGCCCAAGAGCAGTTACATTACAAGGTCATTCTACCTTGGTTAATTATCTACAGTATTTTAAACCAAACAACTTACAGATGATGTGTGCAAGGTACCAATTTCTGTTTTCAAATACTATACATTCCCAGAATAAATAACTAGAAATCAACATTAATGTTTGGCAATACTTTTTAAAAGACTTTTTAATATTCGTGAAATCATGTGCAGTTTGTTGCCATTTTTATATGTTTATTTGTATGCAAGGAAAAGTAACTATAAAATGAAAATTCAAAGAAACAAACTCACAAAATACATCAGAGGCAGAACTTCGGTTTGTACGGCTCTGTACAGATTCAGTGGTACCCCTATTGGAGTTATTTTATAAGAAAAATATAACATCTTAGAGTGAAGGTCCTTCACATATTTTCCCTCAGTAAATTTCATTCATTTAAAAAAAAGACTCAAAAACAAAATCCATCAAAAAACAAAAAAATAAAAAAAAGTTAACCAATCCTATTCTGCTTATACATTAGACCTTATATCTTCTTAAAGTTTACAAAACACTTAACCTGTTTCCAATGTCTCTTAGACAAAGTACCTGTACTTCACAGGATTATTATGCATACATGGAAATGACCTTTCTATCTCACCGAAATAAGTTTGAAATTAAAATATGAAAAACTTCACAAAACTTGGTGAGGACAAAATAAAAAAGGGTCTAAGTTAAAATTGGTCATCAGGCCAAAGAGCAGGCATATCCTACTAACTTTCGACCAGGAAGATTTGTTCCTAGCTGAAAATATTTTATCCTCTCTCAAATGAAAAGATGGTTATTTCTTCTTTTGTCTATACAGAAATATTTATTACACATCCCTCTCAATAACACTACTGGTCAAACTTCAGTGCAACAAAACAAAAACAAAAACAAGTCCTATTCTTTATACTGCCTAACCTGATGTTTATGTAAGGAAAAAAAATATGGAAAGCATGCATTCTTCTATCAAGTACTAATGTTTGACAGGGTTTGCTACATCTTTAACATTTAGTGTTTCCGACTTATCTTCCCTGAACTCAGCATCCAAATATAATATTCCTACCTGCCAAGATATAAAAAAGGCACAGATCATACAACTTTTTTTTGCTAATGAAAATGACAAATGTCACATCACACACATTTCAGGGTCCACTAAAATACTGGAAAAGTGGACCAAAACATAAACTGACACAGGACATGAAATGACATATCATTTCATGGAGACTTCTATATTAGATTGAAAACAGAAGTCAAATATGATTACCATAAATGCTACTTATTCAGAAAAACTGAAAATGTACTGATGAGTTATAACTCAATGCAGGAAAATGGTCCAAATTAACAAAGAAAATCACTGCTCAGTACTTTAAAAAAATAAAACTAAAATCCTGCCCTGAAGTGCTAAGTATACTTAAAAGCAACGTTTCAAGATATCTTTTTGTGCAAATCTGAAAATTGTTGCATATGGCCAATACCAAAAAAAAAACAAAATAAAATTCTTATCAGAATTTGTGTTCATTTCATGCCCTGTGCCATCTTGCCTACTATTTGTCTTTGGCCTAACAAAGTTTTCTAATATGGAATAAGAATTATGGAAATGGTATAGGAAATATAACTTCAGAATTATGCAGTTTAGGGTACTCCATTCACGAGTGGTTGTTGACCATCCACGCTGTCTGGCTTTTCCTTCTTCTGGTTACGATCTTTACCCATGCGCAGCCGATTACCTTCACTGGAGGTATTCTGTAATGTTTTAGTGTGGACACTCCTTTCATTATTGCAGTCAACTCTGATCTAAAACAAGTTATAGTCGTTATATATAGAGACCATATCCTATTGAAATCTGTAATTGGCCTGACAAGAAATTTAAACCTGAAGTGTAAATTACACATGTTGAAAAGGGAAATGGAGATGAGAATAGAAGTGCAAGAAATTAACGTAAGGTAGTATTCTTTATTTGGTTTATGATTTTAAAACAGTCTTCTTCTGTAACTGGAACACATTGGTCATCTTACTGCGTCCAAAGTTAGAGAAAAACCCACAATCCTACCGTGTCTTCTTCTAAGCAAAATAAAACAGTGAGAAACAGTTAAAAAGAATTACTATTACAGATCACCAAAGACATACATGGCCTGACCAGAGTTCAGAAGGAACAAGTTATTCTCCAGAGATTATGAAACCCAAGAAAGACACAAAATAATATCTTCCTATTATTCTGACTTCACCTGGATAAGAACTCAACTAACTCACTTATTATCTAGCCCTTAGTTTACACCTTTATATCTACCATAGGCATGATCAAGTTTCATCATCTTAGAGTAGCATATGAGCATTGGTTTCTAATAGCTTGTATTTCATTAAGACAATTCAGATGATCCTATAACTTAGTCTGAAGAATAGAACGGTATAAAGAAATCTGAAGATAATTTGTTGAAGGACTGGAATCCTAGGAGAATATAAAGATAAATGGATTTTAAAATAATGTCTAAGAGTCACAAAACATTTTAAGTGCCACTGCTGAACACTTCCAAGGGAAGTCCAGATGCTGTACAAAAGTAAGATAATAGTGACCAATGGGCCTAAAACAACTATAAATATTGATCAGGTTCAAGCACAAATGCTAAAAATATCGCAAAATGGCTGTAATTTCAAAGTATGTTTAAGTGTTGGGTACAGGTGGTGTTTTAAATGTTTGGTTGCAAAGGATTCGGCACTTTGATTTGTATCTACTTTCACACTTAATACAGACAACATCACCTTTTCATTGAGTATCCCATTTTAATTATAAATATTCATCCTTTTAACCAATGTGGTTAGACAGCCAAGTTTATTAAATATGTCAGTTTAAGTGGAGAATTTACAAAAATGGTACTAAATATCTTCTATATTTCTTTGTAAAAGACATGTACGTACATTAATTTGCTAATCTTTTCACTAAGTTCCAAAGGCCTTCTATGCTGGTCCCTAAGAACTCACCAATAGTTAATACCCAGTTAGAGCTGCTATGAATTCTAAGGAATAGCCCATCATAAAGTTTTTGTTCTTAAAGTTATCTCTTACTAATCTTGGGCATTGGTCTCAAACCAATCCATATTCAGGAAGGAACCTTAACTACTTGGTTTAAAAATTTAAAGTTACAGAAGAAGATGACAACATGTATCCTGAGAATCAGATACCAGGGTCTGAATATCACTTAGCCAGATGCTAGCTATATGGGCAAAGGACTGAACCTTCAATTTACTCACCTATAAAATGGAATACAACTACTTACCTCAATGGGATGCTGTAAGATTAAATGAGATAAAATATACACAAAGCACTTAGCAGAGGTGCCTGAATGTGCTCAGGGGTAATTTTAAAATTATTTAACAATGGGTTTTAGCACTAGTGATGATCGATTGAGAAGGGACCTTCAGAATAGACCTCTGGCTGTAAATAAGCAGTTGGCTGGTTTGGCATGGATATTGGCTGAATATCATCAGCTCTATCATGATTATTAGTTGTGAGAGAGACACCTTCTCTTCCTTACTTTCTACTCAAAGAGAACACCCTATCCCTGCAACTCAGGGGAGAAGGGACTCATCAGGTCAGGTCTCTTAGTACATTCCAGGATGTCCCTTTTCTTAGAGAATTGGCGGTGGGGGGGGGGTCCATTAATGTGATTTTAAAATCATAATGTGGCTATAAAAATCTTCACAAATACTTACTTATACTGCATATTCTCTACAGAAATCCTTTTATTCATATACTTTTTACAAAGGACTAAGATTGCCTACAACTGTAATGTTGAAGGGAAAATATTTTACATACACCAAATTTGTGATCTTTGAACATGTTTTAAAATAGAGTTATAAATCTCAAACTACCAAATTCAAACAATTTAGATGAAGAGAGGCACACAGGTTTTACCTGAAGGGATCCATCAGCTGTTCTTCCTTTAGCCTCTCTTGGATTACGTGGACGATTATCTGTTCGGGAGTGATCGTCGTTTCCTATAGGTATATTTTTAAAAAGTTCAACAGTTACTGATTTTGAAATGCTTATTGGAAGTTCTTTATTCCCACATCTTCTATTCAGACCAACAACAGAATCTGAAATGTGATAATAGCCTAGTGATTCCAGTTACATAATGGCTAATAATCTAGCCTGCTACCAAGCAACAGACTACATTAAAGGTCAATCTGAGTTAACAATCAGATGCTGTTTAGAATCCTCAAAGAAGTTGAACTAGTTATCAATGTTTATTCATATATTCTACATGAACCATAAGGAAGGCTGCTTAATACTTTGTTACTTACTACACAAATGAAAGGTTGATCTTTTCCTATGATTATCAGCCCAAAACAGGAGAGATGGGATCTCGATAATACTTCATTGCATCACCAACATTTTTTTTTTTTTTTTGAGACAGAGTCTCACTCTGTTGCCTGGGCTAGAGTGCTGTGGCGTCAGCCTAGCTCACAGCAACCTCCAACTCCTGGGCTCAAAGTGATCCTCCTGCCTCAGCCTCCGGAGTAGCCGGGACTACAGGCATGCACCACCATGCCCGGCTATATATATATATATATATATATATAGACTCACTAAATTCTTTCTATTTTTTTTTAGTAGAGACAGGGTCTTGCTCTTGCTCAGGCTGGTCTCGAACTCCTGAGCTCAAACGATCCTCCCGCCTTGGCCTCCTAGAGTGCTAGGATTACAGGTGTGAGCACCACGCCCGGCCCATCACCAGGATTTTTCATGGAACTTCAGACAACTGTTACAATTCACCTTGATTTCTTAGCAGTGAAGACCTCTGTACCTTTGAAGCCTCCTCCACGTCCTCTTCCTCCCTGTCCTCTTCCTCCTGCTCCACGCCGTCGTCCGTCTCCTCTGCGCAGGAAGCTCTCCCTCTCTTCCTCTGTTGGAGCTAATGACCAATCACTGAGTTCGTCTCTGTGGTCAGATTCTGTTTCAGAAGCATTTGATGCTTCAGAATTAGTTCCTATCGAGAGTTAAAAGTTATATACCATTGTCCAACTTAAAAAAAAAAGAGGTTAACAGAAGCTTCCAGAGATGTTTCAGGGGTAATCCAATACTCTTCCCAATTTATAAGCCCACCAAAGAATATTATCACCTTCCAATTTGTAAAACAAATTATTTTAAATTGAAAATGAAGGGATTTGCAATATTTAAGGTAATTTTGCTTATAAAAATTTTTGGTTCTCATTTAAAACAGGTGTTTTATTAGCCACCTAAGTTCAAACCTGAGTGTGCCACATTATTAAACATCTATGCTCTCTGGAGGAAAAGTTGTCTACAACAGTTAAATGTAATGCCTTGATAAATAAAACCTCTATAAAGAGAGCTCCTTTTAACAAGATTTGGCCCAGGAACAGAGGGGAATGCACACATTTTGATAATTTTTGAGAGGGTAGCAAAAAAGGCCACCATGGCAACTGTCTCAGTAAAGTGTCTCTTGTGGGGTCAGGGATTGGATCTGGCTGAAGGGGGAATGCTTGCCTGATGCTTGGTCTACACCCTTCCCTCCCACTTCCACTGGGTAATTGATCATTAATAAAGTATTATAATAATAAACTCTTTATGCCTAAGGGGGTTAATGACTTTTAGACAATTGGAGTGGGGGAAAACAGCTCTACGGTCAGGTGGAAATCCACTGGTAAAAAGAACTGACTGTTGGGAGAGGGGTTAGGGGTTAGGTTCAAAGTTGGCCTTAGGAGTAGGTATTTCTCCCCGTCTCCAGTGTATCAACTCTACTACCTCTCTCTCTTCCTCTGTTGGAGCTAATGACCAATTATAGCTTCACCATTATAGCTTCATTCCTGTGGATCTTGAAGGCTTTTCCATCTTAAAGAGTTCCTTTTTGAAATGCAAATATTTGTGAGATGGATTATACCTTATACCATCATTAGCAAGTTACATAGTAGAAACACAGTTGAGCAAGAAAGACAGTAGGCACTGGCAGGCAGGGATCGGGTTCACTGAAAGGTACTGGGAGAGAAGAAAGAAGCACGGACAGAAGAGCTGGAACAGCAAAGGGAAACTTCGCCTACTTCTTGACTGTGCCTAGGGCTGACTTTGGCCATGCCACTCAAAATCACCTCATGAGCCATAGGATGCAGACCCCTGATTTACACAGTCCATCCAGTAAGTATGACCAGCACATGCCTGACAAAAAATGAGCCACAGTACACAAATGAAAAAAGTTTTGGCTATACAGTAATAAAATCAGGAGAGGCCTTAAGAAAGTCATCAACACACAAGGGCTTGAGCAGATTTATCCCCAATCAGAACATGGACAGAACTCACACCTGCCCTGTGAACTCTATGTGTTATTATCAGGTTTTTACTCTATGTGTCTCTTGCAACACAATTTGACCCACTGTGAATTGGAAACCATGTAGTGAGAAATTGTTAAAATGGGGTTCTAATGAATATTAGAGATTAGCAGCTATTAAGTCTAGGAACAGATAAAGTTACTGAGTAAAATGCTTAGTTTGTACCTGAAGTATATCCAGGACCGCGTCTGCCGTGCCCCCTATTTCTGTAAGGTCTACTACCTCGACCCATTCCTTGACCATCATCAGTCACATAGCCTTTTTCCTTATCTGTACGATTTGGTGGTGGTCTAGAACTAGCTCCAATCTGTCGCAACTGCTCATCAATTTGTAATCTCTCCAAACGCAACTGGTCTACTTCCTATTTAAAATATACAAGATAACAGTAAAAATAATTTGACATTTTACTTAATAAAACCTTTCTCCTTTTCATCAGATAAAAAGTATACTGGAAATACTTCAATTTCAGTTCTAAATTTACAGTTAAACACTGTTACACAGAATTATCAGGAAATTGAATTATCTCCTTAAAAAGAAAATTACTACAAATAACAGATTATAGATGTTCAGAATTAGAGATATAACCAAAATACTCAGCTTATTAAAGATTATATTGAATAAAATTTAAGGTTGTTTGATTTGGCATTATTATACTATTGCTAAGGCACAGATATGCTAGTTTAGGGACTTCTTGATGATAGGATATTGAGTAAAACAATCCTAAAATGTATGAAGACAGATAAATGACATTTAAGGTTTAACCAGCTAACCCTAAAAATGACACATAGTAAATAATGTTATTTAAAATAGATTTGCCAGGTAATGTCTTAAATTATAAAGCATTGAATTTGGGCCATGTTTTGTTTTAAAAGAACATACACTATGGTAGGTATTTGAGTGTGATAAGGAACAATTATTTTTCATGAACTAAAAATGCTGATATTCCTTACACGAAGAAAAAAAAAAAAACCTATTTAGTAGCTGACCATAACAGCTAGGTCTTACACATCATGCCTTGAAAACCTCTTAAAGACTACAACTCTGCTAGAACAAGTATGACAAACAATATATATTCATTCAGTTCATCAAAATAAACACCTGGGGTCCACTGACAGACCCTTACCCTTACACACAGTACAGTGCTTCCAATATGTTGGGTCCTGTTAAATCCAGATGAAACCTCATTTCTAACCTTTCTCCTTGCAATCTACCTGTAAACATCTCATTTCCTGGCTATAAGGAATCAGATCCATAACTATAGTAGTACTAGGTGTCAAGTAGAGGTCTTCATAGAGACTGTCTATGTGAACATTCATTGGAGAAACCCCTGTAAAGCTAAATTTCTAAAATTTGATTGTGGCAGCTTCTGGAAAAGAAAGGTCAAGTAAGGATCTAGGTGAGTTTTATCTGTGCTCTGAACCAGAATCTGTTTTTCATAAGACTTGAGCAAAGGAGAGACTGCAGCTGAGTGGCTACCTCCAAAAGTACAGTAATAGCAAAAGAGAATGGTAGTCCAGGTTATCCCACTGGGGCAAAGCAGTCACCTTTTGGTGAGACGCCAGGCCCAAACATCTGGTGATGGAAAGAATAGCAACAGGACAGCTGCTGATAACCAAAAAAGATATTTAATTGTGAAGAATAAATCAAAAGATCTAAGAAAGAACATTTGTCAGAAGAACAAGGGATTTGATACGATGCAATCCTAACTCTCCAAGTCTTCATAATTATTTAAGCTAAGAATATGAAGAAAACACATACAACAGATAACACATAAAACATACTGTAAAACAAAAACAAATAAGCAAATCAAGGAGGTATCCTACCCATGCAAACCTTGATGGATGAAACCTTCCCACTTTTAATTATTAACTGACCACCATAAGACTGAATGATGTACCTGGCTATCACACTGTTTCTCCCTTTCACTCTTACTTACACATAAGTAGAAATCACTTAATTTTTATTTCTGTCAAGAAATTAGCAAAAAATTCTTAAAATAGCACCATAAATAAAACAGTTGAATTAATTTTTAAAGACTATTTAATACCACTTAGGTTATAGATTTGGTATGCATGGATACAAAGAAGAAATCATAAAACCTAAGAGGGTAAGATGCCATTTCACTAAAGCACAGAACATTTTGGCCAAAAGAAATTTCAAAAAGCATTTAGTTTAGGAAAGTGACTTGCCTAAAGTCACATAGCTAGCTTGTCTTGAAGAGAGACTATAAAAGAAAATCATTGGATTGCCAATCCAGTGCTCTTTCCAGTACACTTTGTAACCCTCCTGGCTCCTACCGTCCAGTTTGCAATCTAGAGAAGGCATAACTGTACAAAGACTAAAACAGGTATTTACAAGAAGACACAAATAGTTTTATATTTTGAATAAGATTATAGAGAAAAATACAAAGGGCAAACATTTAAACAGAGGACTTCGTAAAATAGTGTGATTTCCTTGATAAATGACATAAAAGGGACAACAAAGGCAAGTACTATAGACATAAATTTTGGCCTGGAAAAAAATCCCCAAAAGCTAGAGAGTATCAACTGGATTAAAAGGCTAGGTACAGAATTACCGAAATTGAGTATAAGGGTTTAAAAGAAGAATGAGGGGAAATATGGAATTTGTTGAGAACTAATATATTGGTCCTAAACTTATAATGAAAAAATGATGTTTGTTTTTAGAAGGAATATAAGCTACACAATATCAGTATTTTCTCTATTATCTTTTATAGGTCATACATTATTATGCACAGGCTAGAATGAATCCTAACTACTGAAAGATTTACTGTAAAGTTTTTATATTTTAGTGCAAAAGGATTAGAGGTTAAAGTTCTTTCTGTTCTCACCTTTAAATAGTTCAGGTGATAATCCAAAAGAACAGTGGCATTAGCGATGCTGTCCTTTGTTCCCACAAAAACAAATGGTACCATACCCTGAAAAAAATTGCAACAATGATCCCATAAAATTAATGATGGATTAATCTGAAAAATGCAAATGACTAAATCCCTAGCACAGGGTCTGGAGAACAGCAGGCACACAAATGTCTGTTGAAAATATAAATCAATATTTTATCAAGACAAAAGTAGTTGATATACCTTACACATCTACAGTAGATAAGAACAGATCAATAGAACAATCCCTTAAATGCATCAGATTATTATATTTTAAAGACTATTAAATGTTGCCCAAATCACAAATTAAATCCAAGCTTTAACATGAGATGCATAAACAAAATGAATAGTTTAAAATGTCCTACTTCATTTACTATAGGCTTTACTTAGATAAAACTCTTAAAAAAATAAAAATTGGAAATCAGGGCTAAAAAAGTAAAAAAAATCAATTTTGCTAAGTCAATAGAATACAAACAAAACACAAAAAGAATTAGGATGCATAAAAATGCACTGATTAATCTGTGAGACAAAAAAATCTAGGCATATCTATGAGCTAAAGTAGTCTGAAAATTTTAAAAGGCTGAATAACAAAGTTTGATCTTCTATGGATATTACTTAATATAAGGATAGATTTTTAAAAGTCATATACTAAAAATGTATACCTCTAACTCCCTTATATATACTATGAGGAAAAAAAAACCTATTTCTTGTCACAAGTTATAGAGAAGCCTAGTCGCAATTGTGCAAACTAATAAGCTGGCAATTATGACAAACATTTAAAGTTAAGAATAGGTCAACATTTTCCTATTAAAGAAATACACGTTTACTGATATTCACAAGTGACTAACAAAAAACATAAAGTAACTTTGGTGTGGATTATAACTAACTTTCTATACAAACTTAAAAGGTGTGAGAAGCCAAGAAGATGTCCCTTGAGCAAAGCACCACTCTTTTCTAAAGAGCATGCATTTGATAGGTATGGCTACTGCTGGGCTGTTTTTGCTTGCTTGTATTCAGTATACAGCATCTTAAAGGTGTGTGGGGGCTGGACAGGTTTTTCTTGTTCCCTCCACATGAACATGGCTGTTGATGGAGAACAAAACTGAACAATTAGGAAATATTGTTTTCAGACTGAACATCTAGCAGGCAAGACATTACCTGCTCATAGTAATGACCACCTGAAAAATCAGGTGCTTTTCAAAACCCATGGGCTTCATATAGATTTATTTTCTTGCATCAAATAATGTATGAATTATGGAAATAATCAGGCCTATAAATCAGATCTCTTTTCTCAAAATAGCATTTTTGCGTGTTGAGGTTTTCCCCAATTAACTTTATGCCTTACAAATCTGTTAATCATATTATTAATATTTCCCAAAATACCATATGATGGAATTCTATACCCCTCTCTTTAGGTCAAATGTCACCAAAATAAGCTTTAAAATCCTAGGTTACATATTTAGTTATTAACAGATTGACTTTGGAACAAATCATTTAAAAATATTTAGGCTGGGCAGAGTGGCTCATGCCTGTAATCCCAGCACTTTAGGAGGCTGAGGCAGGAAGATCACTTGAGGCCAGGAGTTTTGAGACCAGACTGGGCAACACAGCTGTACAAAAAATTTTAAAAATTAGCAGGGCGTAGTGGCACACGCCTGTAGTCTCAGCTACTGTGGAGGCTGAGGTGGGAGGACAGCTTGAGTCCAAGAGTTGGAGGCTGCAATGAGCTATAATCTCACTGTACTCCATCCTAGATGACAGAGCAAGATCTTGTATCAAAGAAAAAAACAAGTTTTTCTCTTGCAACACGTCCAAACTGTTGGAATGCCCAAGGGCCACTCTAAGTTATACACCTTGTCAGTTGTTCTGAATAGTAAATTAAAATGAAGAAAGGTGAGAGTAGAATGGTGGCCATCAATATGAACACCGAGAAAACATTATTCCCTGCTACGGGATAAGAACTGGGCTGCCCAGCAGAAAGGGATATCCAATCCACTTGCAGTTATAGTCTCTTTTAAAAATGACTTATTTTCTTTTCATGTCTTGTGAGTCACAACATCTTTTCCATAAACAGTTCTAATGGGTTCTCCTTGCCCTCAAGGAACCACAATGTGGTTGAAGAGATCAATTAAGTAAACATCTATGTATAAATGCTATGCTAGGGTGCACACACTACAGCAGGGAAGGGGAAGGCTCGTGACCCATTTGAGGGTGGAGACCTGTGGTAAATACACAAAGAAAGCTTTACAAGGAGTAAGGTCAAAGCGAGGTGGCAAGTGGAGGAGAAAGAGTGCTCCAGGCAGAATAAATCTGTGCATATATCTAGAAGCAACAGAGAATATGAAAATGTCTGGAGAACTAAAAGTTCTTCAGCACGGCTTAAGCTTCTTTAGCGCAAAAGGGAAGACTAGTGAGAGATGACATTGGACGAGTAACTAGGAAAAGCCTTATATATAAGTGGTATGAAAGCATTTGAGATTTATCCCTAGGGCAATGGAGCGACATACCCATAAACACTCCTCCACCAGCCCCCAACCATGATGATCATTTGTAGTCTTTCTTAACAAGGGGAATAAACATTAAAATATGAGCTGAAAATGTAATTTACAAGGAATGTTTTCCTATATGCCAAGCCTTGAGTTCAAGTTTCTGGGATTCCCCTGCTACAATTGATGAAACCACTAACAGCTAAAGCAGTATAAAGAATGTAAGTGATGCCATTAACTATAACAATTAATACACAGAAGCCTGAATGCAGAACTTTCACTGCAGGACTTTAAAACCCATTTCGAAAATAGTTAGGTTAGTTCCAATAGTGAAATCCAGTTTCTAAAATATGGCTTTAGGTAGTAACTAATGCATCTAACGAAAGGTACATTTTGAACTATGACACCTACACAATTTAAAGAGATAAAGCATGGGAAAAAAGTAAACCCTCAAAAGAAAAATATGACCATGAAATGCAACCCCATTATTTTATAACATAAGAATTGTCACTGTAAATAAATTGGAAAGTCTTTAACACTTTGGTTTGTAATATTTCATAAGTTGGCAATCACATCTGAAAAACCAGAACATGAGTAGCCTTCAAGTTTAACCAGAGAAAACACTCAAAACACCAATAGTGACATCTGAGTCAATGAAATTACTTTTAGTGTAATTCGAAGTGACAAATAATTCTTACCCTCTGGACTTTTGTACTGTTAGGTTGAGAAAAATGGGCGCTGTTTTCCTTTATATCTAAATGTTTTTTTTCTTCTGAGGGATTAGGTCCAACCCTTGAATTATTGGAAGGCAGGGAATTTGGTGGCATAATTTCCTTGGTAAAAAACACAAAATACAAAAGGGAAAAAAGGACCAATTATTAAGACTTCATTTAGCTCTATTATTGTATCAATGATCATACTTTACGAATGCAAATTATTACAAACAGTTTTGACATATAAAATTAAAGAATGCAAAAATCATACAGTAAACGCCCCAAAGGATTTAACTTCAGCTGGAAGAACCTTTTGTAAAAGAAGGCTAGATAGGCCAGGTGTGGTGGCTCATGCCTATAATCCTAGCACTCTGGGAGGCTGAGGCGGGCGGATCGCTTGAGGTCAGGAGTTCGAAACCAGCCTGAGCAAGAGCGAGACCACATCTCTATTAAAAATAGAAAAAATTAGCTGGGAATGGTAGCATGCACCTGTAGTCTCAGTTACTCAGGAAGCTGAGAAAGGAAGACTGTGTGAGCCTGGGAGTTTGAGGTTGCTGTGAGCTAGACTGATGCCATGGACTCTAGCCCCATCAACAGAGTGAGATGAGGGGAGGGGAGGGGAGGGGAGGGAAAAGAAAAGAGAAAAAAGTCTAGATAATATGTGGAAATTATGGCATTTTGAGAGGATAGTATTTTAAACAAGAGTACTACTGCACAGAAGAGCAGATCCTCACTTCCCTACTCCATACAGATAGATACCTTAATAGTTGCTACCAAACAGCATATATTCATGAAGATAAAAGTGAATTAAAGTATAAAATTAAAAGGTGGGAACAATGGGAAAGAAATATTATGCACAAGAAAAAATTGAAAGTACACAGAATAAACACACATACCACACAATCCCCAAACTAAAAAAGCCGAAAGATGAAAGTCAGAAAACCTGTGTTTCAATTTTGTCTTTGTCAGCAACATTAACATTTGAAAAGTCCTTTACAAAGTATCTCCACATATATTATTTCATTAAGTTATCATTAACACCTGACCCAGTTATATATGTTTCATATTTTAAAATTTATGATTACTCATTTTAAAGATCAGGAACTAAGAGTTAAATAATGACTAATGACTAATCCAAAGTCATACCATTAGAGAACAGATAGGCCATTATCTTTAATTATAACATTAATTATATTGGGTATGCTTGATAATCAGAATATTTGTATTCACATTATGGGCATATTATAGAGGTCTCTAAATTAACAAGTCAAATTAAACAATAAAATAATTTACTTTTTAAGACAAACCAAAACATTCGCACTATAACATACCTCTTCTTGTGGGACGTTTTTTTCATTTTCAGCCTCAATCCTCACCCTTACAACTCCTGACTTGTCGACAATCTCCTGAATTAGTTTTCCATTTTTTCCTATTACTTTGCCTAAGAGATGAATAATTCATGTTTGGTTTTAAAAATGCATACCTCAAACCAATAAGCATACATGTAGGTATTTGTGTGTATTGAATTATAAGATTTTGAAACCAAAGTAGAGACACTTCAAGAAGACAGTTAAACTAGTTTTCTGTTTAATTAGGGTATCTTTGCTTAACCCCCTTGTTCAAGTACTAAAGTTGATTAATACTGCAAACTCATTAGGTAACTGAATTTTTAAGGCAATTCAAAGAGCCTCTTATTTTACATAAAAGGCTACAATTTAAACCTACTGGTAGTGTGGTATGTATCACTCTGCAAAATTTGATAAAAGGAATTAAGGAAAAGGAGAATAGATAAGAGCAAATGTATTTGTGTATTTGACAATTTCTTTTTTAACTTTTATTTCAAAATATGAAGGGGATACAAATGTTTTATGTTACATGGATCACTTTTGTAATGCTTGAATCCTGGCTATAGGTGTATATGACAATTTCAACCTTTATCTGAACCTGATTTAAATCTGTGTCTTTGCCCATTGTAAATATTTTTAGAATTCATTATGGCACATTTATAAAAGATACTCAAGTTTAAAAGTGCCTTAAACATTTATATATACATTTAAAAGGAATACAAATTCTTTGGGCCAATGTGTTAAGAGACTATTAACTCCTGTGCATTACTCACAAATCATAGCAGTATATTAAAAGGTGAAGCGATTAGTCAAAGATTAAGAAAACTCACTTTAAGATAACTCAAAATCACAAGGAAGAAGCTTAAAACCAGTTTAAATATTCTTCAATAACATCTGGTAAAACTCCAAAGACTTCAAGTATCAGTAGTGAATAGGTATTTGATTCTTTCCCTCATTTTATAAAATTCAATCATATACATAACTAGGAAATTACTGCTTTCATAATAGTCATCATCACACCAAGACATTACAAATGTTAAGAACTATTAATTCTAGAAATCTGCATCTGAACCATATCTAAGGTAGCTAAGTACTCCTTATACTGGCCATCTCCATTATGTGCTTGCCCCCATCATCTCATCTAAGGCAGAGTTGGAGAAAGAAGAGGAAGCCAAAATTTACTTTAAGCCAATTCTAGATAAGAACCCAGTGAAAAGCTTCACAACAGAGTCTTGTGGCTCTTATAATCAGAGCATACATAGTCTTGGTACTTCTGCTGCATGTAGCTCACTCACTCAACCCATAACCTCTTTTGATTGGTCAGTGGTTAGGGAACAGAACTGATTATCATTATTCCTTTCGTCAATTATTTCTGCTCTTCAAATGAAAAGGAGAAAGGTGGAGGGAGAGAACAACCTGTTGTCTTCCCACAGTTTGTGCTCAAACACTTACAATTTCATGAATTAATGCCAATTTTAAAAAAGATCCAAATGAGTCAGCAAAAAGAAAAAGGAGATTCTGGTATGTTTCTATTAAGACAATATCTTAACTATCTTAAGCACTATGTGTTAACTATAGCTGATTGACTAGTTAAATTCACTCTCAAAGTAGGTGAAGAACAAGCAAATTTTAAGAAAAGGAAGATAAATCAGTGTACATACTGAAGAGTTTGTGAAAACACAGAGATCATAAAACATATTGGGAGACTCAAACAAAATTCATGCACTACTGATTACGACATTTCCCTAAAGATCTGCCTCGTTAAATCTTACACAAAAACACTTTCTAAAAATTTCCAACATTCCTAGTGTCACAGTAGACCATGGGTCCTCAAACTTTTTAAACTGTCCCTCAGATCGTTGGAGGGCCAGACTATAGTTAAAAAAAAAAAAACAAAAACTATGAACAAATTCCTATGCACACTGCACATATCTTATTTTGAAGTAAAAAAACAAACGAGCAAAAACACCTGCACGTGGCCTGCGGGCTGTAGTTCGAGGACACCTGCAGTAGACCATCTCTAAAACAGAATTCCCTCTTTTTACTAACTAGAAACAAAACAAAAACCAGGTTAATTTACTTCAGTAGGCTTTCTGGTTACTTCTGGGATCCTCTTATTCCCAGGTAAGACCACATGTAGAATCTACTTTTAATATTTAACAGCAAATAATCTAATTCTACATTACAGCATTATTTCCAAATTCTAAGGGACAGTTTAGTACAATTTTGATCTACTGAAATGGAGTTGTTTTTTATAAAGTGAAGGAAAAAGAACACAGAGTCCCTTACTATGTCCAGAACTGTGTTAGGTTGAAAATATATATATATATATATATAATTTGTCATAACTATTCTGTGAGGTGGATACATTCATTTGATAGGGGAGAAAAAGACTCGGGAGCTACCTCAGTTGTCCAAGGTCACACAGCTATCAAAGAATGAAGTAGGACTGAAAGCTAGATCCAACTCCAATGCCCGAACACTTTCTTCTACCATCCTGCCATCTCCAAAACAAACTTTAATGAATCTGACAAATAAGTCTCTATCCACTTGGCATTAAAAAAATCCTATTGACTATAATCTCATAAGAATTCCTAAATTTATAATTAACTGCAAAATATATGTTATTATTTGATAAACTGTAAAGAAAATAAATACCATTCATCACTTCATTGTCCTGAGATCACTTCACCTTGTGTTATGCATACATTTTGTACACAAACAACTGGTGTTCAAGTTACCCCAATAACATTACACAGTCATGGTCTCTAGTTGTCTACAGTGTACAATTGAATTAACGATTCTCCACTATTTCACTAGTATTTGTACTATATCTTCAAGTTAATCTTTGGGAGAAAAATTATCACTCCTAGTGTTTTTTAATGACATAGGAAGATGTTTATGATTATATGCTGAAAAAAAGCAGACTTATAGTATTGAAACTGTGCAAACAAAATGTATGAGAAGTCCTTTTTTTTCTTTTTTAAACTTTCCGAAGAACATGCATTACTTTTTATAAATAGTCATGATCTCAATTTTAAAAGATAAAATGTATAGGCAGGATGTCCCAATTTTACTTATAAATTAAAAACATATATAGTTTTCTTGATAAAATTGTCCCTAGTTTTGATGTCCTACTATAGATATCTGTAGCGTTTGAGTGTATTGGTGAAGAGTCACTAGGTATTTGCTGAGATTCATCATGGTTGATGGTCATGAAATAACAGTACTCAACTTACAATGAAGAATTACCATTGACCTTGCAGAAAGTCCCAGAGACATATGGAGTTTCTTCTTGCTTTAGAACTTATTAGATTTAAGCAACCTATGTTCAGATCTTCAACCCTGAGATAATTAAAATGAATGCTATCATTTTATAGCCCCATTAGGAAGATCAAATACCAATTTACTATAAATTATAAAGCTCTCAAATTATTATTTTGAAAAAAAATACACTCAATTTTAAGATATGAAAAATATATGAAGAAGAGGCTGGGCAAATTTATCCTTTCAGGCATTCGTAGGTTTGAGCTAGCAAAGCAATCTCCTTTGCATATCTTCAGAAAATGTAATCTTTGAGTATCATACTTACACCAAATATTTCTCTTTGCTAAAGTAACAGACCATATTTCAAGGATTATGTTTCAATTAAATGATACTCTTCAAGTGAGAAAAAATGGTATTCTCTCAGCATAAATAGTTTACCTAAATTTTGTTTTTGTAATATATGTCAATAACTATTTCTGACTCACCTACTAAGTTCCTTGGAACTTGTATGACATCTTCAGCAAACTCAAGAAAGCTTCTAGCCTTTTTCACTGCATCCTGATCCTAATTTAAAAAAGGGAAAAGTTTTAAGACAAAAGATTAGCCAGCTGGAATGCTGATTTTTTAGGGGGGAAAAACTACTTAATAAAATATTTACCTCTCCATAAATATGAAATGTGCAGGTATCTTCATCTAGATCAATAGCAGTGACCCCAGGAACTTTTCTAGCTTGCTGAATATTAGCACCATGAGTACCAATGGCTAGACCCATCAAATCTTCTCGTACGATAAACTGTTCATGAAACCTTGAGGCAAGCTGCCTTGAACTCTGAAGAGAAATGCATGTCTGATGAATATACATTATCAACTATTACAACAACTGTATTTAGGTCAGCCATGTAAATTATTTTGACCCTGTACATAAGGGGCCTTTAAATTTGTTTCAGTTGAAAACTAAGAAGTTTTAGAAACTATCTCCCACAGCATTAAGTGCTTTTTAGGTTACTGAAGGTCTATGCCATTTTATATATTTTTATTAATAGGAAAGAGCTTATTGACAATTTTCCAAGGTAACTTTTGAAAACCTATACGCAAGGCTGCCCTAGTTAACCAATAACATCAACAATGTAGTAATTAAGAAGCTGATCAAATGTTTCCAAGTAAAAACCAGCTTACTGGGTCTGAGAGACTCAATGTTATTTATTTATGTAAAAGAGTTTTAAAACACCATCTTTGCAGAAAACTTTATTCATTTCATTTTTATTAAAGGATATCAGTATTTCTATTTTTTCTAAAAACAGTGCCATTTTTATAACTTTTCACTAGGTACTGTGGTCTAAACATATCTCTATTGAATTAATGACATTAAAAATATACTTTCCTTCCCTAGAACCTAAGGAAAGGAATAAAGATACCATTGATTCAGTAGTTAAACTAAATGATCACAGAATGTCAAAGATTTAAAACTTATCTTATATATGCATCTGAAACCTAAAGTGAGACCAGAGTCTGTAAGACCTTGTAATCTGGATCCACAAGTATGATGAGTTCTTTCAAATATTCAGTGATGGCAAAACTAGGTTACACTGATACTCTAAATTTGCGGATAATCATTGTCTTTAAATAGCATTATCAAAATTTAATGTTTAGTGCTAGCATGCCATTAATGAAAACCAAACATATTAGTGGCTCATGTTGAAAATGGTAATTTCTTATACGAATATGTGAATCTCTTTAATATTAGTAGTAAAGAAAGACAGGCATGCACACTAGTTTTTCATTATTCAACACACCTGATCATTTGAATGAATGAATTTAACTAGTATAAACATTTTTAAAGGTACACTATCCATGGTTTTTTAAGACTGCAGTAATAAAATGTACAAAATGTTCCTAGGACTTTTCAAGAAGTCATGTTTTCTGAGTCCTGGTTCATTAACCTGATTCATTCATTCTCACTGATAATTAATTCATTGACAAATGGTAAGGCAAAAGTATAACAGATCATTTAAGAAGAAATGTTTAAGAGGCATGAGTATATTTCCATAATACTCACAATGAAAGTAAGGAGGTTGCTCTAGCCTAAAAGTTATAAGAGAATCGCCAAAGAAACCACAGAATTGTGAACATAGGGACATCAAGAAAGAATGAGAGCAAAAAACAATTAAACAGAGTTCCATGGCCATAAGAAAAACAAAGTAGCAAAAAGGAGATTAAACTTTTCTTCTCCTGCTAAGAGTTCATCAATCGTACATTAAGTTGGAAGGTGGTAAATTTTGCAGGGTTTTACAAGAATACAGCCTTGGCTACCTTCTCTCTTAAAATGGTGTTTGGAACTCTTTTTTCTTTACTATTTCAACTACATATTGTTTACTCTCTAATGAAATGAATGATGATGAGGAACTCTGGAATTTGACAGTAATATACTCAAGCTGGCACATTAAACTAAAATCCATTGAGTTTCTATGGTAATGGATGGAAGTACTGGATAGTTATCAATGAAAACAAATGTATGGTGATGGAAATTACTGGAGGATTAATAAAAGTAGATAAAATACACCTTAAGAGACAAAATAGTAAGTTAGAGAAATAGCCTCTGGCAGAAATCTGAAGACAGGAGTTTTAAAGAGTGACAATCAATTAGAATGAAGAAGTTTCTATACCCTTTTAAACAGAGATAAACATACATAACGAAAGGAATATGGTTAGATATATTTAAATACTCTTTAGTACTTTAATGATAACATGTTATATGGAAGAAGCATTGCCTCATTTTACTAGCAGCTTTGACGAACTTCTAGAAGTGAACTGACCAGAAGTCCCTTAATATACACAAATTGCTGCTTAATTTTAGAACTTCAGGCATGAAAACTTTAGTATGATTATGCTTTGTACAATTTAATTTTCCAAACTATGAAATATAGGAATTGTTAAGAAATAGTAAATAAATGGCAAGCTGCCCATATTCAAGTTTTAGAACTCTATAGTTATTGTTTCTAGATAACCTTAGAAGCAATACTAGGGAAAGGGACATACCTCCAGCTGTTTACTGGCTTCTTCATTTCTCAGTATCAGAGACAACTTAGTACGCAGACTCCGAAAGTGCATGTCAATCAGCATATGTGCTCGCTTTGAGGTGACTTCATTGATGGACTAAATTATTTAGATTGACAACATTATTATCAAAGCAAATGCTCTAAATAAAATAAATAAAAAATAGACAACTCAAAAACACTCACCAAAATGACAAGCTGGTAATTTTCTGGATCATAAGTTACAGAAAAGGCACCAACTGCCTTTTTGAAGTCCTTATGTGCCGATTCTTTGGCACACCTAGAAATAAAAATATCCATTGTTAACGTGAATAATTGCCTACAATTAACATAAATACATGCAGACAGATTTATACTTACAAGAATCATGGACTTTTTCCAAAATGGCTAACCAGACACACCACCTGCCACAGTGTCTCAGTAAGAAGTTTCAGATAAAAGAGAAAAAATGACCAAACAAATGTAGATCAAATGTGGGGTTGAGGGAAGGGTGCCAGAATCTTCAGGAGACTCCACGGGAAGAAGGTGAGGAGCAGAACAAGAAAGAGCAAGGTATCGGCAAAGATCAACCCTCTAGAGGCTTAGAGTCCAGCAAGAAGGAAATCTAGATATCCAAGTATAAGAAGCTCAAAGGACTCCTGGGAGATTCATCATGAAGAGGCAATCACCATGACACATAGTCATCAGACCGGCCAAAGTAAACATGAAAGAGGCACTCTTACCAGTCATAGGCAAAAGCAACAGGTCACTTACAAAGGCAAAACCCATCAAACTAACTACATACTTCTCAACAGAGACCTTATGAGCCAGAAGGGACTTGGGTCCCATTCTCAGTCTTCCCAAACAGAATAAGGGTCAGACCTTCTTATATGAGGGTGAAATAAAGACTTTCTCAGACAAGCAAACACTGTGGGAATTTGTTAAGACCAGACCAGACCTGCAGGAAATACTCAAAACTATATTATACGTGGATCAGCACAATAGCCATCCACCAGTGTAAAATCACCAGAAAGCTAAAGCTCAGAGCCCATAGACCATAATGCAAGGGTCCTCAAACTTTTTAAGCAGGGGGCCAGTTCACTGTCCCTCAGACCGTTGGAGGGCCGGACTATAGTTAAAAAAAAAAAAAAAAAAAAAAACTATGAACAAATTCCTATGCACACTGCACATATCTTGTTTTGAAGTAAAAAAACAAACGGACAAAAACACCCACATGTGTGGCCTGTGGGTCGTAGTTTGAGGACGCCTGCCATAATGGTTCAAGTGTTAAGAAAAAAAAAGGCAATAAAGTTCTACTCAACAGGATGAACAGAAACCCACCCCACTTATCAATTCTTTCAATAAATGTGAATGACTTGAACTCTGCACTCAAGAGACACAGGCTTGCTGAATGGATAAAAAAATACAAGCCAAGTATCTGCTGTCTCCAGGAAACACATCTAACCCAAGGAGTCATGCAGACTTAAGGTGAAGGGATGGAAAAAAATATTCCATGCAAATGAAAACCAAAAGAAAGCTGGTGTAGCCATTCTCATCAGATAACATAGACTTCAAATCAGCAAAAGTAAAGACAGACAAAGATCGTCACTATTATCATGATGAAGGGAACATTCAACAAGAAGACATAACAATCCTAAATATTTATGCACCTAACACAAGTACACCCAGATTCATAAAGCTAACCCTACTTGATCTAAACAAAATGATAAACATCATCATCGGAATACTAGGGGACTTCAACACCCCACTGACAGAATAGGACAGATCCTCTAAGCAAAAACTAATTAAAGAAACGGACTTAAAATGGAACTCTAGAACACATGGGCCTAATTCATATTTATAGACATTCTACTACAAAACCACTGAATATACTTTCTTCTCATGGAACATTCTTTAAGACTGATCATATCCTAGGCCACAAAAACATGTCTCAACAAATTAAAAAAACTAAAAATTATACCATGTATCTTCTCAGACCACAGTGGAATAAAATTAGAAATCAATTCCAACAGAACCACTCAAACCTACACAACGTCACAGTAATTAAACAATCTACTGCTGAATGATTATTGGGTCATTGAGGAAACTAAGAAGAAAACCACAAGAGTCTTAGAACAAAGGTGACACAACTTATCAAAATCTGTGGAATTCAGCAAGAGCAGTCGTAAGAGTAAATTTCATAGCCATAAATGCCTACATCCAAAAGACAGAAAGATCACAAACGAACAATCTAATAAACTATCTCAAAGTAGAAAAGGAAGAGCAAAACAATCCTGAACCTAGTAGAAGGAAATATTAGAGGTCAGAGCAGAACTAACTGAAATCAATAACAAAAGAATTATACAGAAAATTAATGAAACAATATGGTTCTTTGAAACAAAATAGACAGGCATCTCACTAGAATAACCAGAAACAGAAAAGAAAGGAACTCAATAAGTTCAGTCAGAAATGAAAAAAGGAGATATTATACAATTGATACCACGGAAATAGAAAATACCATCTGTGAATACTATAAAAATCCTTATGGACATAAACTTGAAAATGTGGAGGAAATGGACAAATTCTCAGAAACACACACTTCCCTAGGCTTAATCAGGAAGAGATAGAACTCCTGAACAGACCAATATCAACTTAACAAAACTGAAGCAGCAATAAAAAAATCTCTCCCCACAAAAGTCCTGTACCAGATGGTTTCACAGCTGAATTTTACCAGACCTACAAAGAACTAGTAACTATACTGCAGAAATTATTTCAGAGCATAGGAAAGGAAGGAATCCTCCTCAACCCAACTCATTCTCATACAAAGCCAAAATCACCTTGATACCAAGCCAGGAAAAGACACAACAACAACAACAACAAAACATCCCTTGTGAATATAGATGCAAAAATTCTCAATAAAATCCTAGCAAACCAAATTCAGCTGCACATCAAAAAAATAATCCGCCATGATCAAGTGGGCTTCATCCAAAAGATACAAGAATGGCTCAACATACATATATCTATGTGATTCACCACATAAACAGAAGCAAAAACAAAGACAACATGATCCTCTCAACACAGAAAAAGCATCTGATAAAATTCAGCACCTTTCTATAAGAACTCTTAACCAAATAGGCATAGATGGAACATGCCTTAATATGATAAAAACCATATATGACAAACCCATAGCCAACATCATACTGAATGGAGAAAAACTCAAAGCATTCCCACTGAGAACTGGAACCAGACAAGGTTGCCCATTGTCACCACTTCTGTTCAACATAGTATTGGAAGTCCTAGCCAGAGCAATCAGACAAGAGAGGGAAATCAAGGGTATCCAAATCAGGAAAGAAGAGGTCAAACTATCACTCTTCACTGATGATATGCTCTTATATCTAGAAAAGCCCAGATATTCTGCCAAGAGACTCCTGGAACTGATAAATAAATTCAGCAAAGTCTCAGGTTATAAAATCAATCTACATAAATCAGTAGCATTCCTCTACACCAGGCGTTCTCAAACTACAGCCCACGGGCCACATGTGGGTGTTTCTGCCCGTTTGTTTTTTTACTTCAAAATAAGATATGTGCAGTGTGCATAGGAATTTGTTCATAGTTTTTTTAAAACTACAGTCCGGCCTTCCAATGGTCTGAAGGACAGTGAACTGGCCCCGTTTAAAAAGTTTGAGGACCTCTACTCTACACCAGCAACAGTGAAGCTGAGAATCAAATCAAAGACTCAATACCTTTCACAATAGCAACAAAGTAAATACAATACCTAGGAAGATATTTAACCAAGGAGGTGAAAGGCCTTTACAGGGAGAACTACGAAACACTGAGGAAGGAAATCACAGAACACGTGAATAAATGGAAAAACTTCATGCTCATGGGTCTGCAGAATCAACATCGTTAAAAATGTTTATACTATAGAAAGTGGCTTACAGATTCAATCCCCATTAAAATACCAATGTCATTTTTTGCAGATCTAGAAAAGATAATTCTATGCTTCTATGGAAACAGAAAAGACCCCAAATAGCCAAAGCAACTTTAAGCAAAAGAACAAATCGGGAAGCATCAATTTACCAGGCTTCAATCTATACTACAAGGAAGGGTATAGTAACCAAAACGGCATGATAATGTCACAAGAACAGACACATAGACCAAGGGATCAGAATAGAGAATCCAGATATAAACCATCCTCATATTGCCATCTGACCTTTGACAAAGTTGACTAAAACATACACTGGGGAAAACAATCCCTGTTGAATAAATGGTGCTGGGAAAATTGGATAGCCACATATAGATGATTCAAAGAGAATCCGCACCTCTCACCACTCACAAAAATTAATTCCTGAAGGATAACAGACTTAAACCTAAGGCATGAAATTATAAGAATTCTAGAAGAAGAGGTTGGAAAAACTCTTCTAGATACTGGCCTAGGCAAAGAATTTGTGAAGAAGACCCCAAAGGCAATCACAGCAACAACAAAAATAAATAAATGGGACCTGATCAAATTAGAAAGCTTCTGCACAGCCAAGGAAACAGTCAACAGAGTAAATGGACAATCTACTGAAAGGGAGAAAATGACAACCCCACTGAAAAGTGGGCAAAAGACATGAACAGAAGCTTTTCAAAAGATGATAGACTAATGGTCAATAAACATATGAAAAAGCGCTCAACATCTCTAATCATCATGGAAATGTAAATCAAAACTACACTTGAGATATTAGCTAACCCCAGTAAGAATGTCTTATTAAAAAGTCCCAAAACAACAGATACTGGATGGATGCAGAGAGAAAAGAACACTTTGTACACTATTGGTGGTACTGTAAAACTAGTTCAACCTCTATGGAAAGTAGTATACAGATACCTCAAAGAACTAAAAGTAGACCTATCATTTGATCCAGCAATCCCACTACTGCTATTTACCCAAAGGAATAAAAGACATTTTATTAAAAAGATACTTGCCCCTGAATGTTTATAGCAGCACAATTCATAATCACAAAGATATGGAAACAACCTAATTGCCCATCAATTCATAAGTAGATTAATATAATGAGGTACAGGGTATACCATGAAGCACTACTCAGCCATAAAAAAAAATGGTGAACTAATACCTTTGGTAACAACCTGGATGGAAGTGGAGACTATCTTTTAAGTGAAGTATTGCAAGAATGAAAAAACAGGGGAGGGAGGGGGGGCAGGGGCAATATTTGTAACCCTAACAATATTTGTACCTCCATAATATGATGAAAAAAAAAATCAGCAAAAAAAAAAAGAATGAAAAAACAAACAGCACATGTACTCACTACTAAATCGGAACTAATAGATCCACACTCACGTGCACATATGGTAGTAAAATTCAAATAAATAAAGAAGAGGGGAGGAGGGAAGAGAGGATGGATAAATTCACTCCTAATGAGTAGAATGCACACTATCAGGGTGATAGATAACACACTTATAACTTTGTACAGAAGCAGTCAAACTTCAAACTGTACAAAAGCAAATCATGTACCAAAACATTTGTACCCCCACAATAGTCTAAAATTTAAAATCATAATAAAAATAAAGATGAATCATGGATTCATATTAAATTTGATTTATATAAAATATGCTATATCCATTTAAAAGTTTAGTTCCCTTGCTGTATCTCTGAAATACTCAGCCAAACCAAGCATTTGATATAGAAAATGAAAAAAAAAAAAAAAAAGAAGTTATGCTCTTAAGGGATTACTGGTGGGCTTAGATCACCAAGGAGACATATTTAGAAGAACCACTCTACTCTACAGGTTTCCTGATTTCAGTTACACATAAGTCAGTAGTGTTCTTGAGCCAACTGTTAGAAAGCTTTTGGGGGATAGCTACAAGCTATCTGATTTTGTTTTGTTGTTTCTTTTTTAAAGAAACACTGCTGACCAATTTGAGAGAAGGAAACATATAAAAATGAGAAGGCACAAATATTTACACACATGCACAATCTCTAGAATCAAAAAGGATTTCTATGTATTCTGAACTGCAATTTAATGTTTATCTGAGGCACAATTCATCCAAATGAAACTCACCACATCTTCTTGATGAAATCTTCAACAAGGAATCTCTTATCTAAAGTCTTTAAGCATTATTTGAGATCAAGGATTTAAGACAGAGATGACCTTTTGAAGCTTCTTAGCTCTACTCATTACATATTTATCTGAAGACATTTTAGCTAAAAGGGAAAAGACCTGGCAAAATCTTTATAGCCTAGAATTTGATTGGTGACTTATGATAGAACAATCACATCTGTTTTACTCATTTCCAAAATCTTAAAATTTGTAAATAAAGTTAATTAAACCTTAGAAAACAAATATACATTGTGTACATCAGCCATGTACCTAGCCAAGTAAGTTTAAACAAGTACAAGGCTGGCTTGATTATATAACTAGGGAAAGCTAAATAAATTTTTTCCCACTACTTTTGCAAGCCAAACCATTTTTGCCAAAGTTCACTAAATTTAAAACTCAATATCTACTATTTTTAAATGTACATTTTCTTAATCGCATATTACCTATAAATTCTCACCATTTCATATGTACCAACTTACATTTGTCGTAAGTCTTCTGGCACGTCCAGTTTGATCTTATGAAAAGTATCTTTTGTGGCAGGTTTGTTGGGATTAACTGATCTTAGACGTTCAATTGTGACAATCTCATTGTATGTAGCATCACATGCTGCATATTCTATCACGTAAAACTGAAAGAAAGAAATAAAAGTCATTCCTAGTCATAGTTCTTACAGTAAGAGCAACAAGCTATCCCTACTGAGTTATTTTAAAATAAATTCTCTAGAGGGGAAAAAACTTAATCAACTGAAACACATGAAATATAATCACATAATGAAAACATTTTAATAAAATGACTCAAAATGAGATATTACTTCAGAATAGAAATCCAGACTGAAATGTAGAATCTGGGTTTAGAAAAGGGAAATAGTATAAGAAAAGAATTTTAAATAAACATTTTCCTACCTCACCCTTTATCATCCTCACTTTAGCTAACCACCAACAGCAAGGTTCTTTTTCATTTGCTCTGGAATAAACCTACACAAAAATCACAACACAGAATATTTAATGATTAACATAATTTTGAAATCTATAGATAATTAGACATTGAACAAATTTTCTTAAAATGCCCCTAGGTATCTTCAAATCATATGCCATATACCTTCAACCAAATTGTACCCTTATGTACACTGAACTAGACAGAGATACATAATCAGAAACGACCTGAGATTGCCTGGGGGCTCCCTGTAAAAAACAACCTTCCTATTTCTCTGCTCTACTTCAATAATAATTAGTACTTTGAACATATATGCTAAAGAAAAGCTGACCATTCATAAACATAGGCATAATTTCCTTGGACAGTTAGCTATAAAAATGTATCTAAAAATGTACAAACTTACTTTTGTTTTATTCTAATAAGCAAAAACTGGGAGTTACTGACCCTGGCCTACACTGCCTGCTCACTATGGGTAACTACTGACCACTCAGCCCACTAAGGATATCATGTTGGCATTCATGTCTCCTGGGGACTAACTAAATGGACAGATTCTAGCTCATTATCTGGTCTCCTACTTTCTCTCCACTACAAAGGACAACTCCACACTGTTAATCCTCTGATATCACCTTCCTGCTCCCTTGCACACTGTGGATCAGTTCTTCTAACCAATTTCTCTGGTGACCATTTCAAAGTTCACTTACAATGTGCAGCATGGAACCTTTTTTGAAGACACTAGCAAATCAAGGTTAATAGGAAAAGAGACAATATGATATACATGGAGAGGCAGACAGAATTACTCAGAAGCAGAGAGGACAAGAAAGTTGGGGAGGAAAGGCCCAAGAGTAGAGAGAAGTAGAGTCTAAGGTTAACAAGCAAGTCAAGGCTCAAACTCTTATCTTCCTTTACAACTGAAATTAATGGTTATACAATAGCTAAATACAACTTAACCTACCTTTCCCTCTTGCCTCCATCACTTTCTCAATTCTGCTCTAGTCAGAGAAATAACCTAAGCTAATTGTTATGCAATACAGTGAGGTCATCCTAGTGTCATGTGACTGTCATGTGCCACACCTGTCATATGACTAAATTGGGGAAAAGTCCCTTTTGATCCTCCATCAAAAAGTACTCTTGATATTGACAGCCCAAAAGACCTGGTTCTTGCCTTCAGAGAGCTTGAAGTCTACTGAGGAGGTAGACAGCTATGTATAGAAAGTATTTCTGTTCCCTATTAGGATCTGTTACAAAACTACGCACAGTTGCCTACACATAGTAGGTACTCAGTACATTTTGGTAAATAAATAACACTTTATCCTATTTCCACTTTAAAAATGTGGAGAGAAGAACACGGGCCTGGACAGAGATCTTCCCTGACTACTCTCTAAAATAGCACTCTTGCCCCTATATCACCTTCTACCTCTTGTTCTTTTCTTCATATGACTTACACCTGTCATATTAGCTAGCCTCACTGGAATGTAACCTCAAAGGCCAAGGACACTGTCAAATAAATGATCTCCAGGAAATCAACCAATCAATAAACAAGTGGCACAGAACTCTGCCCTGTTTCACTGCACCTTTAGTACGTGGTGCAGCAAGTAAGAACTCAAAAGACCTAGAACCATTTTGCCTTACCTATATAAATGTCTACTTAGCAGCTTCCTTCATATTGCAAATATTCATGAAGTTGCAACTATTAACAGGCATTATGTTTAATTTTGTGGAGAAAGAAGAGAAGCAACTTAAAATGTGTGTGAAAGGGTAGGAAGAAGTGAGAATACTACAAAAAGTATACAATACTTTGTATTTAAGTGCCTTAAATATAAAACCAATTTCCATTGGAGAGAGAAATCACAAACACAATGTTTTTGTTTATGTGTCAGATCTCTAGTAGCACCTTTCGATCAAAGAGCTCAATGGCAGATGAAGTGGTTCACAGTATGTCCTGTAAAAAAGAGGTTTTGCCTATATGTATAACTAAAGCTTGTAGGTTGTTTTAAAAATACATACCAAGAAGATTCACTGCTATGTAAAGAAATTTTAGGAAACTTATCTATAATAAAACATGATTTCTTTCCTTTGTAAAATTAATTTCCCTAATCCATTTTTCTTAAAATGGGGACATAGTTGTAAATGAACAATATAGCATTCAAACAAAGATTCCAAGATTAAGGAAAGGGGGAAAAGAAGTACTAGTACACAAAGGAACTTCGGGTAGTGACTTTCAAATGTATGTGCTGACTGCTGCTCAAATAGCCAAATTTAAGCACCACATATCATTTCAAATCATTATTAGGATGGGTCAGTCAAAAACACATGTCCACCACAGCTATAATTTTCAACGTAATTTTAATAGTGTTAAAGACAAGGTATATAAAAAAAAGCACAGGCGAATTAAATGCCCCAATTCCTTCAGTGCCTAATAACTACAGCAGGGGAACTCACCTCAACTTCATCACTTTCATTTATATCTTTATTATAACCTATAGGAGGTGGGAATCTGACATCATGGAATGGAATCTGCCTCTCTGGCTGCCAACTGCAAATAAGCAAACATACAATTACTTTGCATGCTCTTCATGTTTAACTGAAACAAGGGCCACTCTGCCATCAACTTTTGGGTAACTGTTACCCTCTTTTTCTAGTTTAAAGAAGCAAATGCTTTAAAATGGGTCAGTTTTTGCTGAGTGCGGCATAATGGCAATATAGGAACATTTCAACAAAGTCTGCATGCAGCAGAGCGACCTTGTACTTCTATTGGAATATTTCTCTAAACACAATAGAACAACATCATGGTTTTCAAAAATCTTTTTTTCAACAACTTAAACTTCTCAGAATTTTAAAAGACCACAACAGAAATTTTCTTTGATATTTAAATTAAATGTTAGAATCATTAACTGTTAGTAATATCAACATACTTTCACTTGCAAAGGAATTTTAACCACATTCCAAAAACCATAGTAACTTCTTGCTAATTCCCAAGCAAAATGGGGCAGTCCGCACGTTAGCAATTCACAACTCACTTGTCCCCCTTTAAATTTTAGATCCCACGAGGTGGTCAATCCTTGTCATGGGTGCTGATCAGCATGATGTTATCAGCATGCACTGGGATGGTGGGGTCTCCTAAACCACAGAAACCCGATGGAGACAGCCTATAGGAGCTCAATTAAGTTGCCTATAATTTTTACATTTAAAATAATATGGAAAAATTTTGAAAGATACCAAATTATTCTTTTATACCCACAACAATATAAAATATTAAAAGGTAGACTTTTCAAAAACACTGAAAATTCAACTGCTGGAATAGTCACCTCTGGATTCTTTTTGGGGTATTTCATTAGCAAACACTGAGATCTGTTCTATGCATTATATCAATGTTTTGCTAAAGGGCTTTCTTAGTAAAATTCTATTGACAAAAGTGCTGTTTTTATTTTTTTAAGAAGATCTATCAGATAAGAGGGCAAATAATTAAGTCAGAATTTGTGAAAATGTGATTAGGGCCTAATTTAGACTTAACCTTTTCCCTGAATTATTATACAGGGGAAACTGTTTTGAAAATTATAAAACTTAAAAAAATTGTCTTTACTTCAGAAAATGCTTTTTATATTTATTGAAAGTTAGTGACTTTTAACACATTATAATGCTAATTCATTGCTAAATTTTACTTATAAATTATATAATACACATAATTTTGTTGGTTTCAAAGAAGGAAGAATTATTTTAAGTCTTCAGTGTATAGAGATAAAAATTTATATTTGTTATTCAAAAATGTTTATAGAAACACCTTTATGCTTTATGAAATCTTTAGGAAGCACCTATTAATAAAAACCAAGCACCTAAAACAGCCTGTTATTATAGTAACATGAGTTTCTTCACGATTGAAAGAAAAGGTAAATATAATCTGAAGTTCTATAAAACACTTTGTTATTTTGTTTTTAAAAGAAAAACAAAAAGGAAACATACAACGGGAAAGAGACTACTTTGGTAGGGACCTATTAAATCCTCATGATGGCTTCAACTCAGTTTTATGTTTTAAATGTACTTCATGAACACAAGGAAAAACAGATGATCTATTTCAAATTCCCTGGATGACAAAGGGCTTGAAGAGAAGCTTTAATGCAGATACGGTAGAGGAGATAAATAATTAGAAGACCCAAAGATGGAATAATTTTAAGCTTATGGTAAAAATCTGATTGAAAACTTAAAAGAACTAAATCTGATAAATCAATGTATAAATTAGACAAATTCTTAAATGCGTAGAGGAAATTAGTGTTTGCTTAACATTTTAGATTACAGACTACATGAGAAACTAAGAGTGGCAAATAAAGATAAGGATCCCTTTATAGGAAAGCGTGTTTTCCTAGTAATGGAACTAAGTTAAGTAGATAAAGAGTATAATTACAAGAAAGAAATTACTCTCCCAGTTATCAAAGATTCCTCCATTAGAGGTGTGATGCTGTCGTCTATTATATAACCATGGGTTCTTGAAACAGCAAAGAGGCAAATTCTGAAACTTTGGCTGTATGTATTCAAAGAAAGTTATTCCATCATTCAAACTTATATTCTGAAGTGAGATTATTAGTCTAGAGTTATAAATAGGGTTGGACACTCTCAATCATTTTCTCTGGCCCCCTAAATGTGTATCCGGCATCTAAGGATACTACTGTGTCCTATTGCTAGCCAAAACAATCTGCTAACAGTCTAATTACAAAATTTATTTTCTAGATGCTGAAATGCAGGCCTGCTTTTACATTATTTCAGAAGATGCTTTATATTTATTGCTCAATTTATGTCCAGATCACATATTACATTTTAGCAGATTTATTGAGATACAACTCACATACCATAATTCATCAATTTAAATGTACAATTCAATGGTTTTTAGCACATTCACAGATAAGTGCAATCATTAACAGTCCATTTTAGAACATTTTCATCATCTCAAAAAGAAATCCTGTACTCTTTAGCTATGGCTTTCCCCTCATCATATGCCCCCTACCCCAAACCCCAGCTAAGCACTAAGCAACCACTAATCTACTTTCTGCCTCTATAGATTTGTGGCCTGCTTTTGATATACTATTAATTCTCTCAGGACATAAAAGCCAAAATGTCATAACTGTCTACTATTCATCAGAGTTCAATAAAATCCTAAGATCATGGCCCACATCTACATTTTGGTTAAGTAGATTATATGTACTTTAGAATCTTGCCCACTACCATGAAAATAGCTTTCATTACCATTCAAAAAATTTAGTCAAGAGGCTTGTTTCCCCAATAAAATGTTAACACCTATACTATTGATGGTTTTATACAGCTAATATTCCTAGGCATATAAGTATTTTGATTTTCTCATCTAGCAAAAGGAAGCAGAAAAGATTAGCTACTGCTATTACTGATTATAAACATATGAAACAAAAAAATAAGTTAATGGGTAAATGATTGCTTCTGACAAAATATACTAGACTGTTGCTCCTTACATGTTGTGAGGAAAAATTAAAATATATATATATATATATATATACACACACTAGATAACTAAAGCTATCAGTTTTACATTTTATGTTACCAAACTCATATGGAGATTTTTTTTAAAACCAATACTCATGAATCCCTTCATCTCCATCTTTTAAAAATCACAAATAATCCTATCCAAATTCTCAGTTACAAGAATCTGGTTTGTTTCTTCAAAGGAACTGAGATGTAATGATCAATATTACATAATAAGGGACCTCTGAGGTCATTAGCAGGAACAACCGCTAACGACCATTCCATTGGTTTAATACCAGGTTGTTAAGAAACATCTTGCTCAGTAACATTAATGATCCATTCCTGAAAAACACTCAAACTAAACTTGAATTTAAAAAATGAAGAGTAAAAGGAATTAGCACAAAACATTCAAGCACCTGAATATTAAAATTCTATATCAAGAGACTTACTTGTTTTCAAATGCAACTGTTATTGAATCTTCATGAACATCCTTTACAAATGCCTGTAAGAAAAACATCAGTTAAATTAATTTTTAAGCTTAAAAATCACTTTTGTTTTTATGTTAAGAATAAAATGGAGCTTTGAATGAGGGTCAGTTTTTGAGAATAATTCGTTAATCACATCTATATTGCTATCTACTATGTGCTAGTTAAAATACTAAATTAAAAACAACAACAACAACAACAAAAAACAAAACAGATTGTTCCAAAGAGTTCCACATCTCAGAAGAGAGACAAAAATACTGGAAATTACAATGTAGTGGTGAGTGCAAAGCTCAACATAAACTTTAGTCCAGAATTTGTTCCAGAGTCATATGTTAGCCAGAATAGACCTATTGTAACCTATCTTTTTCTTCTTAATAAAATTTTAGGAAATACAATAGTAAATGATTAAATATAACCACCATACGCTGCAAACACCACTAAAAAAAGTCCAATTGCTACAGTTTAATTAAATTCCCAATCTCACAGGCCTTGGAGAAAAATATAACATAAAATCCAGAGGTTTAAATCTTTTATATCTGATGACACAATGGCTAGTAATCTGCAGACAGACAGAACTAAAGTAATAGCTAACTAATTATCAAGAATTCTTTAAACAGCATACTGTCTATAATTCTATAAAATGAGGTTTTAAGTAGGTACAGAAAAGGAGGGTTTGGATTGGTTTGTTTTTTGACAATTAGAAGAATAGGATAAAGCATAAAGAAACACAAAGTGCTTTATATCTCAATTCATTTTAAAATAGCTTGTTGAGATTTAAGCTTCTTACTCAGATTTGTTCTGTGCATGTTTCTTTCAGTGGTTTCTCCCTGCCTGTAGAACCATGGCCAAACTACTTCTCTGGCTGTAAAAGGCTTTTCATGATCTGCCCCTACCCCTCAAGCTTCATCTTTCACATCCTTTGAGTTTGGGATCCAGCAATGCTGAACTACTTGTGCCATACTCTGAAGTTTCTGGGCCTCTCTTTTCTTTCTTTCCTATTGTCCTTCCCCTCTTTTTACCTAGCTATCTCCCATCAGTCTTCTATGTTTCAATTCTGAGGTCACCTTCAATGGGAAAACCCGTAAGAGTAGGTTAAATTCCTATTATCTGCACTCTCATAGCAAGCTATGCCTATTCCTACTGTAAACTTACCCCATTCTGTTATTATAGCCTATTTTCTCACTAGCAATAAGCTTCCTGAGAGTAATATCAGGTCTTATTTTATTCAATTATATTTCAAAGTGCCTAGTATGAACACATGAATAACTATTAATATTAAATGGATCACTGCCTAAGAGGTTCCTCTCCCAGACTTGGGGAAAAGGTATGTGCGTGGGTGGTAGCAGGTTGATAAGGGAAGACATACTGAAGAAGGTGAGGTTCCTACTGAACCTTAAAGGATGAGGAAGAATTAACCAAACAAAAGGGAGTGGACGATGGAGAGGCATTTCACTAGGTCTAAGGGGCAGCAGGCACAAAGGCTTAGACATTGAGAAACAACTTGCATATGACAGAAATAAATCCTTTGTCAACAAAGTCGTCAAGACAATTCACTGGGGAAAAATAGTGCTTTCAACGAATGGACCTGGGACAGATTGGACATCCACACACAAAAATATATTTTAAATTTTGACCTTTCCCTCATACCATATACAAAAATCAACAAAAATGCATCAGCAACCTAAATGTAAGAGCTAAAACTATAAAATTCTTGGGAGAAAACATTGTAGTAAATCCTTATGACTTTGGATGTAGATATCCATATTGGATATGGGAAGATAACTAGTTCAGATTAAGACTATTCCTTAACTTCTGTGTCCTCAGTAACTGGTACAATTTCTGGCATATAATGGGTGCCCAATAAATACTTTAAACATATGACTCAATACAAAGGTCTTGGTAAGCAAATATGTCTTCAAAGGCCTGACATAAAAGGATTCTTTTTAAAAAACAGAACTTTCCAAAATATCAAATTAAAGCCTATGGAGTGGAGTATTAATTAGCTGCTCCTAAGAAAAACTATGGAAGCTGAAGCAGGGCCCTGGAAAACACAGACATGGAAGCCACTTAGAGATACCAAACTTCTGAATTAAAGCTTAAATGACTAAAAGTAAAGCTGTGCTAAAAGATTAAAGTCCTCTTATAAGATCCAGGTGGACTATAATGGCATCCATGTGGTCTGTTATTCCCAAAGTGGCTAAATTATTTCTACAGCGTATTTTGAGAACTCTACATTAATACTGATCATAATGTTTTAGAATATACTAGATTTCATAAGGGTGCATGCCCCCAAGTGCTCTACCAGGCTGTTTCCTCACACTATTACTTCAGCAACAGAGAAGGCAGATTTTGAGTTAAACTGGCAGGAACTGGTCACTGTTAGGCTTTTAGTTTTTTAATCTAAATCATAAAAACTATGGAGAATGGGAAGGAGAACTTCCCTGGCCCCCATTTTTCCTTTGTCTTTACATGATGGCTAATAACAAATTAACAATCTGCTTTTTGGGGGTGGTATTATATTATGAATTAAAAACAAGACTCTTATTAGGAAGTGATAGATTGATCCCTTATTTACGAAGAAGGGCCATTGCTTTTGTCTTCATCCTTATCTAAAGTTTTATAATGTTTGCCTTTCTTGGGAGTAATTAACATAGTTCCTTACTGTATATTATATGCTAAATATGTTAAGAACTTTAGTCAGCTAATAGAACCTTATTACAGCTGGTTGAAGAACTGTTCTCAGTAAATCAAGCATCTTTCCAATACTATCTCCCATGCTGTCCATCATGGTAAGCTACTGGTCATGTGTGGTTATTTACATTTAAATTAAAGTTAAATAAAATTAAAATCAGTCTCCCATTCACTCTTGACACATTTCAAGTACTCAAAAGCCACATATGGCTTAGTAGTAGACAATGCTGACGTAAAACATTTACAAATGTTGGGCAGTGTTTTCAGACCCATCATAAAAGCACTCTAATGTCAGCCTTATTACTGCATTGCTGTATTTTTATTTTTTTCTATTTGCCTAAAAATTATCGCCCAGTTTAATCATAGTTATTCACCACATTTGCTTATTTCCTAAAATCAAACACTCCCTCAAAAGAGGAAGATCTGCAAGTGTTGTGGCTATTCATAAAGAAATTAGAAGTTTTTGCAGGCTCTGAATGCAATTCCGGATGTAGTGTCAGAAATGGTTTGAGTAATCATCATAGACTAAAAGGGCCACTGCTTTCCGAGTTAATGAAGCTTATCTGTATATGAATGTGTGTATGATTGTTTCAAAACTAGTCATTTTTGGTCACTGTTTGCATATTAAGTGAAGGCAGAAGGCATGTAATAATACCTTCTGATTGCTGCTTTAATAAGTAGAATAAAAGAAACTCATAGGTTGCCTCTGGCCTGCACTCACACCAAGGACAAACACCTCCTCCTGTGAGTTCTAAGGCTTTTTATTTTATTAAATCTTCACTCCAACAAGGGTTCCTCTTTCTGCTTCTCATCAAACTTTCTCCAGTAACCCTCCTTTTGACCCTTCCCTTACCCCCACCGCCCCATACCCTGCTTTGCTGGCTACTTCCAGAGCACTATCACCCCACCCATCACCAACTTGGAAAACTACATTTTGTTGTGATCCCTATCTATTAAGCAAAGTTTGGTGTTTGTGGAGAAAACAGGTTAAGGAGATTCCTAAGAGGTTTCCAAAGACAGTAAATTGAATGAATTTGAATGAATGCACAAAGGGAACTACACTGTACTAGATGAAAGCTAGGGCTCTTATTGGAGTCAGTGGGCTTAGTGGTTAAGAGTTGTGAATCAGACCTAGGTTCAAAATCTTGGCTCTATCACATAACAGCTGTGGGACTCTCTAAGAAGTGATCTCTGGACCTCAGACTCTTTGTCTGCAAATAAGGAATTGGATCAGCCTCCTAAGGTTGTTGTAATAAAATTACACACATAGGTGGCACTACATAAATGAGAGATAAAGTAGAGAAGAACATATTTTATAAAAGATGCAGAACCATAAATGCTCTTACATTTGGAAGAGGAGTTAGATCCCAACAAGAAGCACACTTAAAAAAAAAAAAGCTTTAAAAATTGTGATAAGAAAGAAACAGATGCTGCCACAAAGATACTAAATACTAAAAGGTTACTTAGACACTGGGAATAAAAAAATGTGATGAGGCCGGGCAGGTGGTTCACGCCTGTAATCCTAGCACTTTGGGAGGCCAAGGCGGGAGGATTGCCTGAGTTCAGGAGTTCGAGACCAGCCTGAGCAAGAGCGAGACCCCGTCTGTACTATGAATAGAAAGAAATTAGCCAAACAACTAAAAGAAATAGAAAAAAAATTAGCTGAGTGCGGTGGTGCATGCCTGTAGTCCCAGCTACTTGGGAGGCTGAGGCAGGAGGATCGCTTAAGCCCAGGAGTTTGAGGCTGCTGTGAGCTAGGCTGATGCCACGGCACTCTCGCCCAGGCAACAAAGTGAGACGCTGTCTAAAAAAAAAGTGATGAAAATATTTAGGGTTTCAGAAAGGTGACAAAGTACAGTTAAAGACAGATACAGGTTCTCCATTGGGAGGAATAAATAAGAAATTTTTAAAAATCTCTAATTTACTGGCTATTGGGCAAAAGAGACAATCACAAAAATCATACTTAACCAAAGTATGTAATGACTAGAGCTATACAATTCAAACATTCATTACATTACCAGAGCTAATGAAACAAGGAAAGTCCATCCCTACTCGGGTAAATTCTTATTCCTCTACTACACCTTACACCCCTTATCTTAGTAAGCTGTCTTACAAACAGGAGACACTGCTAACAAGAAAGGTTATTGAGTACAGAAGTTTCAGTATAAGCCCCCAACCACCACTGAATATGACTACTACAGTATCAGTAGGCTTCTACCACTTACTGAAGACAGAACATGTAGTGCTATGATAATTTTCATTAGAAAAAACTTAATAACATTGTAAAATATTCTTCCCTAAGGAAAACCTGCAGGAGAGGATACGG